AAACAGAACATTAGCAACAGAATAGCAGCAAAAACAATATAAAATTTTAGAATCACTACTGCATTTACATTTGGAACTAACTAATCTTCTAATAATATGGAAAGAATATTAACTGAAAATATGGAAAAGTTGTCAAGGGAGGAAATAATTAACAGGTTTAATATACTTAGACATGAATATCTAGCACAACAACGAGAAGATCATGTATTGCAAGAAACCTTCATATCGCTTCAACTATCACAGGAAAATGAAATACAAAGCTACAAAATCGAAATTGAAATGCGAAATGCTAAAATTTTAATGCTTGAAAGTGACATTACAAGAATACAGAAAGAGAAGAGTAAGTTAAGGAAACAGCAACAAGGAAGTAAAGAAAACAATTAAACTGAATTTAATGTGAATGTTTAATACAAACGGCCCTTTTCAGGGCCAACAATTTCTAAAAATATAAGAATTTACCTTATTACCATATTACATAATTGACAAGTGAAAAATCAACTTTTTAGACATCTAACAGATGGCGCCAGCGTCATTACGGCGTTTTTAAAACTAATCTCAATTTTAAAAAGGCTTTTTAAAATATTTTAATGAAATTATTTTATGAAAATTTTTATTATACCCTGCATTTAACAGTTTAAGATTAAAGTGTGATTATGTTAACATTAAAAATTTTAAATATTAAGCTTTCTGGCTGTACAAAAGATGGCGTAACAGGTTATACCATGGTATAAGTGGTTATCTATTAGTATGGATCGGTATTATATCTATTAGGGTTGGTTTAGATAAATTTTGTAAGTTCAAACAGTTGATATTTGATTTTCAAACCTCGATAAAAAAATTTGCTTGATTCATTTCTTCATGGTAGTCCTTTATAGCCGATTTAGAGCAAAATATAGCCTATGTACATTTAATGAAGACATTTTCATTATCAATATGAAGAATAGTATACCTACAAGAAAAAATTGTTTCAACACCTTCATGTTTTCAATATGAATACGATTATTATCGTGATATTATCGTGAATATAAATATATTACGGTTTTTCATCAGTTTTAATAGACTGAAACATATAATTTAATTTTTGTCTTGCCATAAGCGACGTATAGATCTATAGATAAAGTTTTATCTATAAAAATACTTGTACAATTCTTCATGTTTATATTTTTTATATAATATCAAAGATACTACTCTCATCACAGCAATAGCAGATTGTTTCATCAGTCCTCGCCATATATGATAAAAAAAAAGAGTGTGTGTACTTAGTACGCACGTAAGAAGTTATACTTCTATTATGTGATTTCAACGAATTAAATGTATTTTTAAACAATACCTACTATTTTTCAAAAGAATCCCTAAATTATATCAAGAATAAAAAAAGGTAAGGCAACAGCACGAGGTGTTCCACAGCTATGTGGTTCCGTAACGGCCACCCATCCAAATCATGACCGCGTTCAACACTGCTGCTATATGACAATAGAATAAAATTGTTACCTACAAAATAAATTATTTTTCAGATTGTACAAATAATATTAAGATTACCTTTTAATCTTCTTTTCTTTATATTTTTATTAATTATACTCTTGACGAATACTAATACAAATACATAAAAATTAGAAATAATATATTTACTAAATTTAACATTATAAAATACATCCACCATGATAACAGTTATTTCGTAATTATTACATTGACAGTAGTATGTATCAATGATAATTATCTACACATCGACGTACATTTTATTTAATATTTTGATTTAACTTGTTTTGAAAATGAATCATGACGTGCGGGAAAATATAGAGTGGACGTACTTTATTCACAGAATCATTTTAGATTCTAAGCCGCAAAAGAAATAATAAATGGGTATACGACAGTATAAAAAGAAATCAAATATTCCAGACAGATAAAAAGTAAATGACAGTAAAAATTAAGTGAAATTGTACGGAAACAATTGAACTTTGGAAAATTTTAATAAAAATCAAAAGATATGTTGTAAATAGGTAGTACCAATAATATTAGCTACTAAAATATTCTTACATTTTTAAAAATTTGTGGCTCTGAAAAGAGCCGTTTTTTTTTGTAAGTCTAAACAATTTTATGATTGTGATGACATTTTTGTTTGAAGTTCTCTCCCTAATTTCATGTTCTGTGCAATATGTTCCCTGTGCTTTTCCTTGACTGTAGTAAGTTTAGTTTTAAGGGTTTTCAGAGTTTCAGTTCGTTCACATATTTTCTGTTTATATACTTCAATTTCTGCTTTCAAGTTGCTGTTGGTTCTCTCAAATTTAAGTCTTGACACCTCTTGACTATGTTGATTGATAATATTATTGGCATCTTCTGCTCGATGGAGAAGGTGATCCATAGTTATTTTTGTCTGTATCGTCTTTTTGCTTAAATCTATAAATTGGTCTCGTAGTTTATCACACATTTCTTCTAGCTTTTTATTTTCATCGTTTAGCTTCTGGTACTCTACACTTAACATTTCGTTTTCACTATACAATCTTATCAATATTATCTTCCAGTGTCAAAACTTTAGCATCTAATGATTGAATTTCCTTTTTGTGGGACTCCTCTATAAATTCGTGTATATTTAGAAAAGTTTCAAGAGCATCAATCCAATCCTGAGTTCCTGTACTGAAATTGTTTTTTGTTGTTTTTCGGTTCGTCGTTGCATTGTATGGTATTCTTCTCTGAGAATATTACACTTCTTAATAATTTCACTCTTTGCAAAACCCCTAATATCTTCTATTAAAATGTCATTCATTTTACCAACATCCATTTGATTTATTATGTCTTGTAGGCTACTAAAAACTGCGAAACTGTATTCTTTAATCGGCTGATCAATTAATGACACTTTGAGAAATTTCGACCGTATTTATAATAAAATAATAGTAGTGGGAGGAGGATGAGTGCATCTGATTGCCTTTGAAGCAACCAATCGGCTTTTTCATATCACAAACTTTTTGTGCGCATGCGTTAGTGTCAGCCATTTTTTTCGTACTGTTCTAGGTTAATAATATAAACAACAATAAAGTACCTGCGAACACATATTTTAAATAAAACAAATACTAAAAAAGTATTTTTAGTACAATTTTTTAGACAACTTTTTGTTGTATTTTTACAATTTATAACACAGCATTTCCTAAATCCCATTTTCTTCAGAGACAGAAGGTGTAAATGTAAATAAACAAAACGAATATGAAATATGACAATTGACAATATGAATTTATGACATCTATGAAATGTGCAGTAAAAAATGCAAAATTTCTCCGCTACTCGCGCACGTTCGTTTCTCGTATCCCCTCCAAGTACTTACACGTCGCCAATTCGCATTGTTAATGTATTTTATAAAGTAAAATTTAGTAAATATATTATTTATTATAATTTTTGTTTATTTGTATTAGTCTTCGTCGGAAATAGGATTAATGAAAATATGATGAAAAGAAGAATAAAAAGTAATCTTAATATTATTTTAACAATCTGCCAAAATAATTAATTTTGTATCCATTTTATTCTATTTTCCCATAGAAGCATTGTCGAACGCGGTTATAATTTAGATGGGTGACCGCAACGGTACCACGTAGCTGTAGAACATGTCGTGATGTTACCTTACTTTTTTTTAATTGTTGGTATTATTTTAAGGACCTTTTTGAAAAACAGTTACCATAAAAAATTAGTTTAGTATCAAAAATATATACAAATAAACTGTTTAAAATATATTTATTTTGTTGAAATCATATAATAGAAGTATAACTTTTTACGTGCGTATCAAGTACGCATGATTCGAGACTAATGGAACAATCTCATATAACAAGTTTTCTTTATGCCGGTAATGAAAATGAATTCACTAAGAGTGCATAGGCTACATTTTCCTCTTAATCGGCTATATTGGACTACCATAAAGAAACGAAACAAAAAATGGTTATCTTGGTTTAATAATATACTATTAAAAGATTTTTCTGAACCATCCTAATCGTTATAATAGATAAGCGTTTGTAAATTGAGATTATCTTTAAAAACTCTGTAATGACGCTAGCGCCATCTGTTAGATGTCTATAAAAACTGAGCTGTTTTCTGACTTTTACTTGTCAATTATGTAATATGCTAATAGAGGGTAAAACTGTGTAGCCTAATGATTTAAAACACTTAATTAAAATATATACTTTTTTGACCAATGTAACAATGAACAGTTTTTCTTGAATCTAGTAAATTGCTGTATTGGTGGTTGCCTGCTGTCTTGTACTATGCATTGCGGCATGATACTATGAATAACAAGATAATATCTTCCCGTAGCTCAAAATCGGTCGGGTTCGCGCATGCCGTCATTGGAGACTAGAATTTGAATTCTTGTTAAAGTTAAATGAGATTTGTATGCATTCTGTGATGAAATTACTAGACGAAAATAAGTTAAGAGGTTCAATAATTACAATAATCGTACACATAAGGATATCTCCAAACTATTTATTAAAGATTATTTATTGATATATACAAAAACTGACATTTCGAAAGTGAAATCTTATCTTATAGTCATAGTATCATGCATTGCGGTACAATACATTATGAAGTATGTCCACTCTATCTTTTCCCATGCGTCATGATTTATTTTCAAACAAGTTAAATAAAAATATGAATAATTTTAAATGAAAACGTACGTCGATTAATATTATATTAATATACTTTATTTTTATAAAAAGTATTTGTTTTATTTAAAATATCTGTTCGCAGGTGCTTTATTGTTATTTATATTGTTTACCTAAAACAGTACGAAAAAAGGCTGACACTAACGCATGCGCACAAAAGTTTGTGATATGAAAAGCCTATTGGTTGTTTCAAAGGTAATCAGATGCGCTCATCTTCCTCCCACTACTAATATTATTAATATAAATACGGACGAAATTTGTCAAAGTGTCATTATTTGATCAGCCGATTAAAAAATACAGTTTAGGAGCTTTTAGGAGCTTAGTAGCCTACAAGAAATAATAATTCAAATGGAAATTAGTAAAATGGATGACATTTTAACAGAAGATATTAGGGGTTTTGCAAAGAGTGAAATTATTAAGAAGTTTAATATTCTAAGAGAGGAATACCATACAATGCAACGACGAACCGAGAAACAACAAAGAACAATCTCATTACAAGAACTCAGGATTGGTGCACTTGAAACTTTTGTAAAGATACACGAATTTACAGAGGAGTCACATGAAAAAGAAATTCAATCACGAGATGCTAAAGTTTTAACGCTGGAAGATAATGTTATGAGATTGTATAGTGCAAACGAAAAGTTAATTGTCGAGTACCAGAAGCTAAATCATGAAAATAAAAATCTAGAAGAAATGTGTGATAAACTAAGAGACCAATATATAGATTTAAGCAAAAAGACGATACAGACAAAAATAATTATGGATCATCTTCTCCAACTGGCAGAAGACGCCAATAATAGGATTAATCAATACAGGGAAGAGGTGTCAAGACTTAAATTGGAAAGAAACAACAGCAACTTAAAAGCAGAAATTGGAGTATATAAACAAAAAATTGGTGAACAAAATAAAACTCTGAATACCCTTAAAACTAAACTTACTACAGTCAAGGAAAAGCACAGCGAACAGATTGGGCAGAACATGAAGTTAGGCAGAGAACTTCAAACAAAAATGTCATCACGATCATAAAATTTTTTACTTAAAAAAAACGGCTCTTTTCAGAGCCAAAAATCTCTAAAATTGTAAGAATATTTTAGTACTTAGTAGTATTTCTTTTAATTCCGAATAAAATTGGAAAATTTAATTAAAATAGTAGTATAGTAATTTCCACTCAATTTTAGTGTCATTTACATTTTGTCACCCTGGAATATTTTATTTCTTTTTATACTGCTATGTTTTTTTTTTGGTGAATTTAAAATTTTTCTAGGCAAATTAGTAGATAATTATCAATGATAATTATCTACACATCGACGTACGTTTTCATTTTAAAATTATTCATATTTTGGTTTAACTTGTTGAAAATGAATCATGACGCACGGGAAAAGATAGAGTGAACAAACTACATGATGTATTGTACCCATCGAGCAAAAAGATAAAAGAGGGAATCTAATCGTTATAAAAAGGAGACCAAAAAAGTGGCCTCTGATGGCGGACATATCCGGAAATGCAAAGGCGCTAAATTTAAATTTTCCAACACTTGTTAACAATAGATGTAAAATATTTTTCAGACAAGAAACTTTTAATTAAATATTAACGATAATAGTCTAAAAAGTGACACAATTGGTAAAAAACTTCAATATAAATAAAATTTCATGTGACAGTTTGGGACAAACAATAACATAACCAAACTAAATTTGACTTCTTAAACAAGGAAAGAGACTGTCTTTCCTTGTTTAAAGTGGCCTCTCAAGATAGCACTTCCTGTCTAACAATATTTTTGTCCCCACTACCTTTACATTCCCTCTTTTATCTTTTTGCTCGATGATTGTACCGCAATCCATAGTTACCAATACAGCAATTTACTAGATTCAAGAAAAATTGTTCATTGTTACATTGCTAAAAAAAAATTATATATTTTAATTAAGTGTTTTAAATCATTTTGCTATACATTAAACCTTTTATTAGCATATTACACAATTGACAAGTAAAAGTCAGAAAACAGCTCAGTTTAGTTAGACATCTAACAGATGGCGCTAGCGTCATTACAGAGTTTTTAAAAATAATCTCAATTTACAAACGCTCATCTATTATAACTATTAGGGATGGTTCAGAAAAATATTTTAATAGTAGATTTCAAACCAAGATAAAAAAATTTTTTGATTCATTTCTTATGGTAGTCCAATATCCGTAAAATATTGCATTTTTTACGGTTCAAAAAATTTATATATTTTAATTAATTGTACATTTACATTTTAAATGTACAAAATACACATTTTACCTTTTATTAGCATATTACATAATTGTCAATAAAAGTCCAAAAACAATTTTTTTTGAGACTTCTAACAGATGGCGCCAGCGTCATTACCGCCTTTTTAAAATTAATCTCAATCGTTTAAACAAATATTTATATATTTTTAAAATAATTATATTAAGCACTCTATTTAGTAGTTTAAACAATTTAAAATTAAATTCTGATCTGTATGTTATTATGTAATCTTTAAAAATTTTAATATCGAGTTTTCTGGCTCTTCAACAGATGGCGCAACAGGTGATACCTCGTTTTTAACAAAAAATATTACAATAAGAGAATAAAATATTATATTTAACACCACAAAAAAATATTTTTTCAATAATTGAATAATTTCTTACAAATATAAATCATTTTTGGGAGCAATTCTTTATTTCTTCTATATAAAATACAAATCAAAATATGAGTTAACCTGTATGTTTGATGGTAAAAGCACCATTAAAATTATATAACGGATATTACCGGGGTCTTCCCCGATAATATCCGTCTCTAACGCATGCGCACAAAAGTTTGTGATATCAAAAGCCTATTGGTTGTTTCAAAGGTAATCAGATGCACTCATCTTCCTCCCACTACTAATACTATTAATATAAACACGACGAAATTCCTCAAAGTGTCATTATTTGATGAGCCGATTAAAGAATACAGTTTAGGAGCTTTTAGCAGCCTACAAAAAATAAAAATTCAAATGGAAATTAGTAAAATGGATGACATTTTAACAGAAGATATTAGGGGTTTTGCAAAGAGTGAAATTATTAAGAAGTTTAATATTCTAAGAGAGGAATACCATACAATGCAACGACGAACCGAGAAACAACAAAGAACCATCTCATTACAAGAACTCAGGATTGGTGCACTTGAAACTTTTGTAAAGATACACGAATTTACAGAGGAGTCACACGAAAAGGAAATTCAATCACGAGATGCTAAAGTTTTGACGCTGGAAGATAATGTTATGAGATTGTATAGTGCAAACGAAAAGTTAATTGTCGAGTACCAGAAGCTAAATGATGAAAATAAAAATCTAAAAGAAATGTGTGATAAACTAAGAGACCAATTTATAGATTTAAGCAAAAAGACGATACAGACAAAAATAATTATGGATCATCTTCTCCAACGAGCAGCAGACGCCAATAATAGGATTAATCAACACAGGGAAGAGGTGTCAAGACTTAAATTGGAAAGAAACACCAGCAACTTAAAAGCAGAAATTGGAGTATATAAACAAAAAATTGGTAAACAAAATAAAACTCTTAAGACCCTTAAAACTAAACTTGCTACAGTCAAGGAAAAACACAGCGAACAGATTGGGCAGAACAGGAAGTTAGGCAGAGAACTTCAAACAAAAATGTCATCACGATCATAAAATTGTTTTTACTTAAAAAAAAACGGCTCTTTTTAGAGCCAACAATCTCTAAAATTGTAAGAATTTTTTAGTAGTTAGTAGTATTTCTTTTAATTCTGAATAAAATCGGAAATTTTAATTAATAGTAGTATAGTAATCTTCCTTCAATTTTAGTGTCATTTACATTTTGTCACCTGGAATATTTTATTTCGTTTTATACTGCCATTTCTTTTTTTTTTTTGGCGAATTTAAAATTTTTTTAGGCAAATTAGTAGATAATCATCAATGATAATAGTAGATAATTATCAATGATAATTATCTACACATCGACGTACGTTTTTATTTTAAATTATTCATATTTTGATTTAACTTGTTGAAAATGAATCATGACGCACGGAAAAAGATTTTTTTGTCTTATTGCTCGATGTCCAAATTACAACCGCGTTCAACACTGCTGCTATATGTCAATAGAATAAAATTGTTACCTACAAAATAAATTATTTTGGCAGCTTGTACAAATATAATATTAATATTACGTTTTAATCTTTTCTTCATATTTTTATTATTTGTATTCTTGACGAATACTAACCCAAATACCATCGAGCAAAAAGACAAAAGAGGGAATCTAATCCTTATGAAAAGGAGACCAAAAAAGTGGCCTCTGATGGCGGACATATCCGTAAAGGCGAATGCGCCAAATTTAAATTTTCCGGCACTTATCAACAGTAGCTATATAATATTTTTCAGAATGTGTCTTAGACGAGAAAGTTTTAATTAATTATTAACAATAATAGTCTAAAATGCGACACAATTGTTAAAAAACTTCAATATAATAAGATTTCATGTGACATTTGGGACAAACAATAACATAACCCAACTAAGTTTGATGTCAAACAAGGAGAAAGATTCTTTTTCGTTGTTTAATGTGGCCTCTAATCTAAAGAACGCATTTCCTGTCTAACAATATGTTTGCCCCCACTACCTTTACATTCGCTCTTTTGTCTTTTTGCTCGATGCCAAATACACAAAAATTATAAATAATATATTTTACATCATGTAACATTATAAACTACATCCACCGGAACATAGACCCGGTATGTATGTATCAATGATAATTATCTACACATTGGCGTACGCTTTATTTAATATTTTGATTTAACTTGTTTTGAAAATGGATCATGACGTGCGGGAAAATATAGAGTAAATACACTTTATTTACAAATTTATTTTCGATTCTAGCCCAAAAAAAATAAATAGGTATACGAAAGTATAAAAAGAAATCAAATATTCTAGACAGATAAAAGTGGATGACAGTAAATATAAAGTGAAATTGTAGGGAAAGAATTGAATTTGGAAAATTTTGATTAAAATCAAAAGATATGTTATAAATTAATAGTACCAATAATATTAACTACTAAAATATTCTTACATTTTTAAAAATTTATGGCTCTGAAAAGAGCCGGTTTTTTATAAGTCAAAACAATTTTATGATTGAAATATTTTTGAATTTCTCTGCCTAACTTCATGTTCTGGCCAATCTGTTCTCTGTGCTTTTCCTTGACTGTAGTAAGTTTAGTTTTCAAAGTTTTATTTCGTTCACCAATTTTTTGTTTATATACTTCAATTTCTGCTTTCAAGTTGCTTTTGTTTCAAGTTAGCTGATAGAATTAAAATTTTGAATTTAACTTTACTAAGGCATAATTAAATTATGTGAGTATAGGATATTCTTACATTTTCAACAATTGTTGGCCCTGAAAAGGGCCATTTATATCAAATACGGTCTTTAAAAACAAGGTTATTGTATAAACTGAAGACCATCAGCAAATTCAATTGTTGATATATGGAAGATCTACTTAATATCTACGTTTTCGCTATTTTTTAGTTCTGAATGAGGTTTTCTTCTTTTTACTAAACTTTTTGACCTTGTCAGTGTTTTAAATTCATTTGTGTAGCTTTGAACGTCATCTTCGAGCATCATACCGACAGCTCCAAGTCCTGCGAATTTAAGTTCATGTAGGAGGATTATTCTTTGCTGTTCCCGCATTTGCCGTTGTTCTACCAAGAAGTCGTCTCTGAGGATAAGAAATTTGTTGATCATGTCCCTCTGAGTAGTTTTCTTGGTATCTTCTCTTGTCTGAGTATTATCCATATGATAGACTGTAACAGCAAGCTTTTTTACTAAATTTCAGTGATTGTAATGCTTTTGTCTACCTTATATGCTTCTAAGAAGTCTCACTTTATATCGCCAGTATTTATATAATGGAGTGGGTTCAGTTTTTTAGTGATATTGGGATTTTCAAGTCAACCGCCCAATGGAAATGTTTTCCGTAAAGGCGGGGCAATACTCATCGGCGCGCGCATAGTCAGCGGCTAAGAGTGTTCTACGGTAACTTTACTGTCCTCGCTGGAAGCCCCCATCTCTGGCTTTGGTCTACATTTCAGTCGAGCCTAGACTCAGTTGTCAAAATACCAACATTATCACTAATGTTTGTATTTTAACAATGTGACAATGTGATAAGACAATCGCCCCGGAAAGTTACATGAAGATTTAATACAATTTGGGATATAGTTTTTATAGAATGAGTTTTCTGAGAATAAATATTTTTAAACTGTCAATATTGTTTATACACAAGTTTTAAGATAACTGTTTTTCCTTTCATAAGAAAAAAGACTTTTTGACTGTAAATATTAGTCTTAATTTATGTGTTTTTAATCCAATCTCATAAATAAATGGTCAAACGACATCGCACACATTTTATGGAAAATACAATGTCACGACCGTTAATGGATTACCTAGACACGCTGTATATTAAAATTAAACACTAAAGATAAGGATATTAAAATAACAAATATCTTGCTTTTTTCGTGGCTTTCATTGTTTGTTATCGAAACCATTGCAATGTTCCGTGCAAAACTATTGTAACTCTGTTACATTAGAATTGCAACAGTTTTGCACGGAACTTATGTATAAAAACGCAAAATAGTTAAACTGTTGTTGTAATATTTAGCCGGTTAAGCATTTGAAAGTTACTAAAGTTTTACAGGGGATAGATATGCATGTTTACAATCGAATTCCATGATTACTTCATTTTCATAAAATTTTGAGTTATTCCAGTCTTGCACTGAGGGTGCGATATATATACTACAATCTTACACATACTCGTCTTTGTCTGGGGACCCAAAAGTCACAATTGCAACTCTTACTTTTGTCACTCATGTAACTTTGACAAATTTATGGATTCAATTGAAGGAAAAAATCTCTTCAACGGTTATAGTATATCACTCAATATTGTACTGAAAAACATTGGTTTTAAGTCGATAAAAGATGATCCAAGGCTAGGACTGATAAAACAATCTCATATTGCTGTGAAGAGAGTAGAATCTTTAAGATCGTACAAAAATATCAACATGAACTGTACAAGTTTGTTTTTATAGATGAAACTTGATATGTAGATCCATATGTCATATATAGATATATGTAGTATATGTCATATACCATAGCATATTCTTAGAGAAAGTACCAAACAAAATGTCTTCAAACAAAACTAAAATAAAAGATTGGGTAACAATATAATAAAAACCCGAATGTCAACCGAAAAGAAACTCATGTATTTTAATCCTCGTCACTGTCTGAATTTGATATCACTAGGATTTTTTTATAATTGGTTCATTGACATCACTATGCTCTTGTCCCGGTTATATCCATGGCCCCGGAAACTTACATGAATGGACTTGGAAAATTTCTACATCAGTTTGACCCCAGTCAGATAATAAAGAGAAATGGAATACTTTGGAACTTAGTGATTGGTGAAGTATTTAAATTAATAACAATGGTGAGATTAAGTTACAGGAAATTCTTACATTTTCATTAATTATTGGCCCTAAAAAGGGCCATTGTTTTTCAACAAAAAGAAAGTTATCTTTCCTAATTGTGAGTTGCTTGTTTGGGACACAAAGGTTTGCATTCCGGTTTTCTTCGAAAGTGTAACTTCGTGGATTCTAGTTCTTCAGCTTGTCCATTAAATTTTCGTTTATGCATTTTGATGTCGTCATTTTTCAAGTGCATTTTCAGATTTAATAAGTCTTTTTTAAATTTATGGATTTCTGTATTGGTGTTTTGTCTTCTAAGAATGATATTTTCCATCATTGTTTGTGCTTCTTCCATCATTTTGCATAAATCCATTTGCTCCGTTTGAATATTATCATACGCTTCTTTGAGACATTTGTATTTGTTGGTAGACTTCTGCTTTTTCGATCTTTAACTTTATATTTTCCGCATTTAATTTCCCAATTTCAAGCAATAGGGTCGTCCTCTTCTCGCTTTGCGATTGTTGTTGTCTTGCTGGATTTTCACCATGTTGACTATTAATATTAGCCATCTTACTATAACTGATTGATTCCAAAATAAATTGTTTCTGTTATTCTTTTACTGTTAATAGCGACTGCTAAGCGTCTGATCACCATATGTCTTTTTGAGACATTGATACCCTATTTATAAAAGGTATTTTACAACGATATAGGTGGGGGAAGCACTAGTAAGTACGTGTGATTGGCTTCAGAGATCAAGCTGAAGCAGTTGGTTCGATCGGCCAGGCTCAAGCCAATTGGGTAAGTGTAGGCGTCGGGTCACGGTGCCTTTCCCCCCCCCCTCTCACTTGAAAGACCGATAAATACGGAACAAATTTTTCAATAAAGCATCATTAGTTGGTCAGTCGATATACAACCAACATTAGCAGCACAAGAGCAACAGAAACAATACACACAGAAACACAGCATTGCAATTAACTAAGCTCCTAATAATATGGACAACATAATAAGTGAAAATATGGAAAATTTCACAAATGAAGAAATAATTAACAAGTTTAATATACTTAGAGATAAATATCTAGCACTACAACAACAAAATCAGAGACAGCAAGAAAACATTATATTGCTTGAACTTTTACACGAAAGTGAAATACAAAGCTACAGAAACGAAATTAAAGACAAGATACTAAAATTTTGGTGCTTAAAGATGAGAT